TTCAGGTATGCAGATGGTAATTCAGGCCTTTTTCAATTCAAACACAACCTCTTCAATCACTGGCTTTCTCTAGAAGTTGTAATTTTAAACAGCTTTTCCTTTTGCTGCTTCAGCAGCAGCAGCACAGCAGAAGTTAATAATCTCACCTGGAAAAAGGTGCCCCCTGGATGGGTTACAGGATTTCCTTTAGCACTGGTTGCCAGACCAGTAAGGGTTTTTTTAAACAGAAGGATGGAGTATATTTTAAAATTAAATTTTTCATAGGGAAAGGCTCATCCTTTCTCAGAATAACTTGGGTTTTCATCAAATAATGGAAACAGAAAATTGCCCAGCTGGTTTTGCTTAAAAACTGTTCCTTATAAACACTTCAGCAGGAACTTTTTTTGTAAGGAAAACTTTTCTAACTAGGTTAGGTGCAACCACCACATAGCTTAAAAACAGTTCATTCACTTGTGAGGCGTTATAAAAGAGTCTGAAGTGACACTGAGAAGTTCAGTGGTGCTTGTGGTGGTGTTCACAGATCCTTCTGCTCCCTGGTCTTCTTGACATGCAACCTTCTGTGCATACAGTTTAAAGAGACAAGTCTAACACAGAGAGAGATGCTTCCCTTCCCGTGTGCCTGTGCACTGGAAGGTGTGTGCTGACAGCAGTGTCAGCAGGAGGAGGAGGAAGACAGACAACCATCTGTACAGACTGCAGTGCTTCGCTTGCTCAGCCTACGTGCTTGCCACAAGCAGATCTAAAAGGGAAATGACAGTGGAGGGGTGGAAAACGCAAATGGGATAAGGAGAAAAAGAAGCTGAGGAGAAAGGCTATCCTTGCTGTGGAGGCAGACTCCTTAGGCACAAGAATATTTACTCAGGAACGGTGTCTAGCTGGCAGTTACCTGCTGCCATCATGGAAGAACCCAGTCATGTGTGACACCGCGGTTAGTTGAGGACTTCACTTGTTGAAGTCACCTGTTCCTTCCCACTGAAAGGATGCACACAACCATCCCATCTCAGGCCCAGCAATGCTGCCAGACCCTCACGTAATATTTCATCACCATCTTTCCTCCCTCCTCCTACCCCCAGCATGCTCTACACCTTCTCAGGTCCCAAAAGTGGTAGGTGGGAAAGGGAAAGCCTGTATTTATCAGGCAGGCAGCCAAACCGAAGAGATAAATTGTGAGTTTGTACCAGGGCCCCTCAGAGTAAACTTAGCTGAAATCACTGGGTAATTTAAGAACAGTGGGAGGGAAAAGGAGAAGATAAATGACAGAAATATACGATCATACAAACCTTACCTCTAAAAGAAACAAGGTGAAGATAAGCACCAACCAGATCACCTGACTGGTGGAAACATGCCTGGGTGACGGAAGGACTCTCTAAGGAGCTCTTGCATTGAAGTTCTTAGTCACCATCACAAACTGGGTTTCTTTTCCCCTCATTCTCCCAAGAAGTTTCAGTTCTATCTCTGTCATGTGATTGCAGCATCAGTGTGCCATTTGTGTCAGAGCCCGGATTTTCCCTTTTAATACATCCCCGAACAGCCATGACATTTTACATGATGCATTAATGAAAGGCTTAGCAACTGACTTGTGTCAAAACCTAAACCTTTGTGACTGTTAACATTTAACACTCTGCAAGTACCATAAATAGAGTCCTAGAGCTGATGCTCGGTGTTGTAGAGAGCATGTGGCTGGCAAGATAAAAGACAAGGAAGAATGGAATGAAAGGGCAGATACAATCAGCACATTTCTTTAAATATATAAGGTTTCCTAGTAGATCAGGTAGACATAAATATTTTCTCCTGCATAATTCACAGTGGCCAATCAACACCAGTCCCAAAGAGCAGGCCTATCCACACCTCAGCCTAGCACTGTAAAAATAAACTACTCACAAGATTTTGAAAAGCTGAACCTGATACTGTTCCTGGTACTGTTCAGAGCTACAGACTCCTGCTAAAAACAGGTCTGATTTTCACCCATTGCACTAGTAACTGCTTTAATTATAAACCTGAATTGTAGCAATGGCTTGGCCTCCTGACTTAGCTATAACAGTTGAAAACATTTACCTTACATGGGCAAAAAACCTATAGGGCACAAGAAAGAAAAAGAGGAAGACATAGACATAAAATAGCTGTGACATAACCACAAGAATAACAGTAGAAGTAAGCACTTAAACTCGTGTTTTCTTGCTAGATTCTTTAGAAACAGTTCAGATTCTTTCTCAAGAAAACTCTGAAAATACAAATTGGGACAAAAAATCAGCTTGAGTGTTTTCATTTTTGCTAAGAGCAAAAAATTCTCAGAAAGAAAATTAATATTAACTGTTACGGACCTTTAACTCAGCAGAAGAAGAAAGCCCCAGCTTCTCCTAAAAACTAAAGTGAACAAACATCTCAAACCACACAATCCTACATGGTTTTGTATTGTGGGATTTAACAGTCTGCTGCATATCTTTTTAAGAAGAAAAGCTTCCAAAAGTGAGCAGATGCAGCATGCTCAAAGTATCTTGAAATATGCAAGATACACAAATTGTCTCTTTTTCCCTCAGAAAGGATCTGGCTTTGCTTGTCCTGTGGAAATTCACCTGTGCTAAAAATCCAGAATAACAAAAAAGTAGCATAAAATAAATCTATTCCACTAAAGGAGTAAGAATCAGTTTCTGGTAGTGCATTACCTCTTCCATTCTTCTCTTCAGCTGAATAATTTCTGTTCTGACTGTTTTAAAATTGTGTCATTAGAGAACCAGACGTATTCTCCCTCCAGGTTCACTAACCAACACCAAGAGAGAGAACAGAAAATAAAGTGCAATGGTATGTATATGTCTGTTCTGTACCTGTAAAACAAACCCAAAACTCTAGAGAAAATTACATTGCTAGAAATTCCTGCAATTGAACTACCTAAATTTGGTGTCCAAAGCATAATGGCTGTGTTTGACATTTTAAAGCCAGCTCAATATGGCTGACTGTAGTATCTCTGGGCAAATCTACCTCAAATACAGTTATTTAGATGGTATTTATTATATTTAAAGGTTTTACTACAGTCCACAATGCCTCTACCCTACAGACAGGAAGCCACAACATTGCAGCTAAACTTACATAGTTGGTCATCTTCGTTTCCCTCTTGAATTTGGAAAGCAGCCAAAGCAGTAAAGCGAGTAAGAAACCCTCATCCCCACAGGTACCAGAGGAAGTCTTGGTGCACGAGCTGCCACAGATCATATATTACCTGAGGCTCCTTGACAAGTAGAAGGTCAGCCACATGAAAGTGATTCTAACAGGCAAAAGACATGAGTAAGTTAATGCACTCAACCCTCCTTCATACAAACAAAGCCTTTTGAGACATCACCATCATCTCTACTGTATGGCAGTTATGTGCTCTTGAACCTTCAACAGAGGCGCCAAGGAGCTTCTCACACCTGTTAGGTGGCACTAAATAGTCACTCTAAGTGTTTAGCAAAACCAAAAAAAGACTCGAGAGAAATCTCCTAAAAAGAACCAAAAAAGCCTGCCTCTTTACAGTTTCACGGCACAAAATTCAAGAGCAACCCAACAACCCAAGCTACAAGTGCATCGGTAGTTTGGTTTGGCACCACAGGGAGCTTTGCTGCACAGCACCCCCTTCCTGGGGCAAAAGCCAGGCCTGCTCAGGAACACTCCAACACAGCACTCAGCTCAGCACCACCTACTTCCCTTACGCCTTTACCACTCAGCAGCTGTACTCAATGTTCAGTATTGGACAAATTAGGAATAAAGTCCTTCCAAACACATAAAAGGGAAAATCCCCGTTGCAATTTTAAGCATAATGACATCTTCCTATGTGACAAGCATCCCATACCATTTCCTTCGGCAATGGATAGCTTGCTGTGCTACCTCTGTGAGATGAAATCTTCCACCAGTTATCTTCACAGTAACTCTGCTGTCTTCATAGACATGAGATGGCAATAGCCAGAAGCATACCTGAAATCCTTTGATTTTAACATGTGCTGAACTGCTAGGAAACTTTTTAATTGGAAAGGTCACAGGAGACAGATTTCTGAGCACATTTCCAGATAAATGCCACATTTTCAGCAATGCTCTCTCATAAAATGTTACATAAAAGGCAAACAGACACTTTTCAGTGACAGCTTGCAGCAGGCCCACCTGCCTCTTAAAGGTAAAGGTTAAATCCTCCAGAGCTGTACAGTAGAAATGCCATCTTGCAATCCACAGCTGTGGAAGGTGAACACGAGTCTCCACTGTCCACCTCTCTTGCTGCACTGATCAGAACTAGAAACCAGAAGCTGATACAAAGTGAGGTGCTTTCAGAATCTTCACCAAAAAATTGAGGTGCTCATAATCTGTTATTATTTTGGATGGCTGTGCTTTTAACCTAAAATTGAAAAATGTGCATAAACCCAAAAATGCTCAGTTTTTAACAGTAAATGGAATCCAGTCTCTCACATCCCAGATAAACATCCTAAATCTTGGTGCACAGTGAAGGGATTGGTGCTCTTTGCTCCCTCTTCTATGCAGATACACTCTTGACCAGATCAGCTCTCTCAGTGTCAAATCCAATATATTTTCTGGAACAGATTCAGCTCTGTTGAACTAGTATTTTCCAACAACAAATATAATTTTGTCAGTAAACTTACAAGCAGTTCTGGCAACACAATAAAAAATTACCCGAAACCAGACCTCAGCCTTTCTACTCAGCTCCTTACTGCCTCACTGTTTTCCATTAAAGGATTATGACTCTTTTCTATTTCACTGGTAAGATAAGGGGAAAATTCATCCTACTCCATATTGTTCCCAGTTATTCCCACTCCAAAGCCTTAAACATGTTTAAACATAAATCCATAGAGCTTCTAGCTCTTAGTACTTACTACTCCCAGTTAAGCAAAGGAAGAGTTAAATCCAGTCTCAAGACTTTGTAGTAATTATTCCCTATAACTTCTGTCCATGCTAAGTCTGTCTAACAGAAGAAATCAAGAGATTTACTATCTACAGAGTACAAGAAAAAGCACAGCAAAAAATATTTTTAGTATTTTATTAACCTTAACAAAACCAGCAAATTAAAGGATGGTCACCTGTTTGGAAAAGATTCACATTTTAATGGCAGCTAGGAATATCTAACAAACTATGCACAACTGTGTCAGCCATCAACTGAACACTAATCAATGTAATCCAAATCTTCTGGGATTCCAAAACCTTTATCTATTCTGCTCTCTTCAAATCCAAATTTACGCTTGGCCCAGGACTTTATTGAAAAGATGTTATCTGTAAACAGAATGAAAAACATTCATTTTGAGTATTTAGGAAAGCATGATTTATAGTCTTGGCTACAACAAAATCCTTCCATTTGCAGTGTCTCTTGTGCGTATGAAAAGGTACATAGTGGGGAACATCATTATCAAGTACATTTAGAACAGAAAACATGAGGCTTTTGTTAATAACCTCCAAAAAAGAGGAAATAATTTACTTAGTACTGAATAAAAATTTGTTATTTTTATCTTTTTTTGCTCCTCTTTTACAAGGAGACTGAAAGCTACAATTACAGTGTAAGCTTGCTATAGTGATGAGGTAAGTGTGAATATGCATAGTAAGTATTTTATAGGTCCTTCTTCAACTAGACATCTACTATGTGACTGTCTACAGCTATAAAAATTTGATTTAAATTTACTGTAAGGTCCTTTCTAGTCCTGCATGTTTCTTCAGACACTGTATTTTTTGGAAGTTTAAAAAAAAGACATTAAAGAAGCTTTATTTTACTCAGCACTTCTTTTTTAGCATCACAGTAGTTTAACATATACATTTTGTTCAATTTAACAAGGTTTTTCACTGCAGCATTTACTGAAACTCATTACATCATTTTTAACACCCATAAATTGCAGCATTCCTTAGGAGAGGAAGTGTTCCCTGTCTCTGCACAGCTTAGAGATAGTTTTCTTTTCTTTAACTATCACACATTTGGTTTTAAAACTGTCTCTTCAAAAGAAAAATATGCTGCAGCATATAACCAAATTGTCTAATTAAATAGCAAAGTACTTTCTACTGGCTGAGACACAGTTCCTTTACCTCATTTGAGGCCTTGAGAAGAGCCAGTCACCAACACCAGAAAGCCCTGACAACTCTCAGAAGACATAATTTTATTTCCCCATATGCAGTAAACAACCCAGATAAAAAATAATAGTCCAAAGACTAAGACAGTGATATCCTGCTACACTTGGCACAACCAATGATAGCAAGTAGTCCATCAGTAGATCTACTCTAGACAAAAAATTATAAACAATATTCTAAATAATTGTAAAAAAAACATAAGGACATAAAAATTGTTTGCTTTGTAAAAAGGGAATGAATACAGCAAAGCTAAGCAACAATAGAAAATTGAGTTAAATTTCCACATGAATGTCATCACAGTAACATTCCTTAAAACTATGCATCATTTTACCTGTCAAAACTGATCAATTAGTTTGAGAAATACCTACTTTGTATCAGCATCCATCATATGGTAGTAGCAATAAGATTCCACAAAAGATTTTACTGTTCAGAAAGAAATGAACATTCAGAATAGAATTAAACTTTCTGAATATCTGGGCATGACCATTTCCAATCTCTATTTCTTTCCTCATCTTAAGAGATTTTAACACATCCAAGGAAACAAGTTGCAGGATTTAACATGGTGTACAAGACAGGACCAGAAGGACAAATCTGTTATGGCTTATGAAGTATATTCACTAACTAAACTGAGAAGATGTATTCTTTTTGTTGAACCATAATAGTCTTATATGTAAAATAAATTTCTTTATGTTTTTTAAGTAAGGACTATCCTATGTCAAATCCTGATCAAATTTAAAGCTCTTAACACTGAGTAGTGAAACTGCTCTAGTGTGAAGCTGTGTCACTGCAATACACACCAGTCCATCTGTTGGCTGCCTCCTTGGCCACTTGGTTTGTTTGGCCTGAAACAGAGAAAAACACCAACAACAATAAAAGCGTACATCACAGTAAAATCATTACATAATTTCAAAGCATAGAGACTAAATTTTTGTTGATATCATTTTTATGGAACCACACAATAAGGAAGTTATTCTATTGCTTCTAAACACTTGTTTTACACTTTTAAGGTTCCAGCAAGCTAAGTTAAAGAAAAAGAGAAGCAAAGAGCATAAAAGATACATACGAACAACTGTAAATTTTTAAAGCATATTTTAAAATAAAATAACCCCAGTTTGGCTTGCTAAGGGGCTTAATTGTCTTCACCAAGATTGGAACTGGATACGTGGCCTGAAGATACCAGATGCAATAGAGATGGAAAATATTTCATAATCCTCTCTATACATAAGTAAACCATCACATGGGTATGCATGACTCTATATAGATAAGGAAAATGACAAGGCAGCAGTCTATCATATCAATCCAAAAGTTTATCATATAGCTCTGGAATGTCTCCATGGCTTTGAGAACTCCCTCAATGAAATTAAGACAAAATAATATTTCTGGCTATTAAACTTAGCTTATGTCCCTTAACACTACTCCAGAACTAATCACATAATAGCAAATTACCGTTACTACAAGGAGGTTTTGTACAGTTTCCATGAGGCAAAACAATCAAGAAGAATTCCTCTTAGATCACCTTGCTCCCGTTAAAGTAAGTACTGAATCAAATCAAGCTGGTTTGGTTGTAACGTGGGAATTTACCAGAATCATTCTGGCTCTCACGCCTACATGTAACTTAGTTATTCCCAGTCAGTCTTGTTAGTACTCGCATGATAATACTCATTTGAATGGTCAGCATGAAACTTGTCTCCAGGGTACTGAGACATGAATATATGATCAGGTACCCATTGTTATACACATTAAACTTTAAGCAAAATCAAATTATGTTGAAAAAGCATCTGCTAGCACACAGGAAGGGAAGTACTCATTATTCCAACCTTAATACTCCAACTGAAATGAAAAATGTTTACATTGGAGTAATATACTATTTCAAAAACAATACAGTTTCTAAAATTGGCCCACAATTAGAAAGTTTGAGCACAGCATGAAGAAAAGCAAAAAAGCTGAGCAAAAAATGAGTGGGAGAGAAAATGGCATTTTTGCTTGCATGCATGCATCAGAAATTCAAGTTGTTCCTAGCCTGAGAGAGATATTTTTTATTTTATTTGCTGAGTTCTTGTTGCCATCCCCACTTGTTCAGTTCCACAACTGGCAGCACGAACAACAAACTTGCAGCTAATGACATTTGGGACAGTACCTAACCTAACCCTACTTAAAGCAAGTCTGCAGAGTAAGAGCTTCTACTCATCAAGACTTTGTGTGTGTGACACACGACACTTGTCTCAGCATTTTTCTAAAATTCTACCATAAAACTTGACAGCTGTATTTGACTCCAAATAATGAATTTGAAATGAACTGGAGGAAACTGGAATGGCATTAAACTCCATGGATCCAGAGTTGTGAGGTGACAGCCAACCTATCCCACAGCACCTACGAGGTCTCAGCAGAAAGCTCAGCTTTCCTGGAAGCAGCTGAGTTGACCACCACAACACAGGGGCAGCATGGAGTCCTAACACCTGCAAACACTGCTCATGTGCGCTAAAATATACATACATGATCACATGTTCTGAAAATGTGACTTCACACCTCTGTCAAAGAAAAGGCTGAGGTGACAACAGACATAGGCTGGACAACAAGTTAGAATGGCAGTCACTGCCTATAACCAAGTTGGGGCTAGAAATGAAAACATGGTAGTGAGAGTAGGAAGCTATAATGGGGAAATACAGACAGACACACAGACAGACAAATAATCCCCAGTTTCTCATGGCTACAGGTGAATATTTTGCTGTCTGAAGACAAGGTTTAAGTCCCTTGGGATCAATCTTGAGTCTTGCCTATGATTCCACTGCATGATCTTTTGTGTCTGCTGAAACCAGTGCCATGCCTGGAAGAGGAACAAGAGACAGGCTTTGATAGTTATGAATCTGCATCTCCTGAAGACACCAGCCACATCTGCATCATGGCCAGAACCTTCCAGAGACCTCCAACTCCATCACAAGAACGGACAGAAATGACGAAATATGCACCTTCACTGCTTTCTGGAACTCTTTTATAGTTGCTTGTTGGGACTTTCATTGGTTGCATCATCTGTATATATACATGCACTGAGGATGAGGGAAAGTAGGAATAGTAAAGAAGACAACCTCCAGACACACCTACTTTACGTATGGGTGTAGCCAACTCAAAGTCATGCTACTTCTGACCACCTGTTCTCTAGCTCCAGGGGATCACACAGCCAGGTTGGTTTTCAGACTACACTGAAAAGGAATCTGAAGATCTAAAGACAGCAATAGCATGAGAACTCAAAAATGCAGACTCCAAAGCAGAATCAGGACACCAACTGCGTGAAGCTGTACAAAGGAGAAACTCAAACACAGCACTAAGAGCAACTGGCTAATTGCCAAAACCAACACAACTACGGCGTCCCCAGCTTGGCTGGAGTCCTTCTGATCCTCCTGCTCACCAGAGCTGCTCTAACTGAACTTGATTTTTGGCAGCTACTAAATAGTGCTCCAGTACTGGATCTGCACGAGACAATGAAAGGCCAAATATGCAGTAGAGGTGAGGAACAGGGGAGGCAACATTTGCACATGCTTCCAGATGTTCTCATTATCATTAGGCTCTAGTTACAGTCTGTATCTATACATCTGCATATAGGCTGACAATGTATGTGATTGCTGTCCTGAAGCTGTCTGGAGCCATTTGTTCTGGACATTACATATTTATTTCACCTATCTATGTGACAATGAATCAATAGACTTTCCCACTCTCATGTCTGCAGGATACAAGTCATTTATTTGGCTGAGGCACATACTTGTATCCTCTGCTGACTAATTCCAGGCACATTTGGCATTTTCTAAGAAAGAAAATGGAAGCTTGCATTTTTGTCTCCAAAACTGAACAAAAGCAACCACTGTATGTACAGTAATGCAAGGCCCAGGAGCAGTAAGACTCAAAATGCTGGTCTGTTATGTCAGCAAAACACAGCTGGAAATATGCCTGAAACAGTGAAAGGCTACAGGACAGAGAGTTATTTTGACCAGTCCTCATGAAAGTTTTTTTTCCCCTCAACCCCAAGTATCTCTGGAGAACTGCAGTGTACTCAAAAAGCCCAGATTCTGGGAGGTGAACCACTATCCCAAGCATCTGTGATTATCCTTATCACAAGGACAATCCCCTCTATCCCCACAGAAGAAAGCAAAGGTATGGAAAGGAAGGTCCAGCCACCGTGAGTGTCTAAAAAGAAAATGAGGGTGGGTTGGAAACATGCTTTTCAATGCAGGTAAGTGACCTGCAGGTATTTTGGAGCAAGCCAGGAGACAGAGGTGACAAAAGGGCATGTGGCAGCTGTCAGAGGTGCACCAAGAAGCTTCTAAAACAAATGGACAGCACCTGGTGAGGAGTCAAGGCCAGCAGCACAGAATGTTAGCACAGCAGTGCTTCTAACAGATCTCAACAGGCATTATATATTGACTCAAGTCACTGTAAGGCCACAGTGTTTCTGATCTGATTCAGGAAGCCCCTACAGTCCTTCTCAGCATACTGTAGAACTACAACCTCCTCTTTCTTCTTCCCCCAGATTCTCTCACTTTTTTCACTGGAAGGGGAAGATGGTTGAAATAAAAAATCCTATTTTCATTCCAAAATTGAATGGCCAAAAGCTGTAGAAGTCTCAAATATTTCCACATGGCAAAAATCAATTGTGATAGCAATAACCACCACCATCTCCTCAGAAACATTTTCCAAATGTACTTTAGGTTCTTCCTAAAACCTTTTTAAGGATCACACATGTCATTAAGGGAACATTAAGGAGACAGTCATGGAATAGTACTCAAATTCAGACTGTAAAGGCAACGTATTATAGTTCTAGTGGCTATAGTAAAAGAAACAAAACAACAACAAACAAATGGCCAGAACCAGCTCACAACCACCTGAGCTGGCAGAAATTAACAAAGAGCTGTACCTTTCTTTGATCTCCTAGATCCTACTCTGGCATTTTCTGGATAACTTTAAGGACTTCTAGGTCCAGGAACCTACACTTCCCTAGAATAACAAAAGCTAATTGTATTTATAAAGTTAACTCACTTTGGTGCCAGTTTTGACCTACCACAAGAAAATGCCACAAGAAAATTGTATGGACTTCCTTACTTAAAAGGCACCTGACTGCGGTGGGAATTAGCACTTTACCATGGAGAGAGTCACCCATCAGCCTGTAGGGTGTTAGCAGATACATGCAAAATACAACTGCAGTCTTCAGCATGTGGGCAAGAGAGTAATTTTACAGCGTGGATCACAATTCCTCTGCATGAAACACAGGGAACAGCTGCAACTGTTCTCAGGGACCAGGGAGGATTACTAGCCCAAAGATTCCCAATCTCTCTTGTGAAACTGGTCAGGGTAAATTAAGTGCATTAAGTGGATTTGAATTCCTGTAATAAATATGCATTCACTTAGATTGAATTCAAAGATGAAAAATGGCAACTACCATAGGAACTGTGTGTGAACTTGAACCTCCCATGACTCTGGATAACTCTCTGCAGAAGGCAGTGGATAATCACTCTTCCTGCACATGGGTTGCCCTTACTTTCCAGAAACATTACCTTGTCATCATGACAGTGACAGACTTGTTTTTCTACTTCTCCTGGGGCAGCATCACTATAACATCCTGTGACGCAGTTTCCAAATTTTTTCCCACTAATGAAAACATCTCATGCAAATAAAGATTCCATCTCCAAAGGCCAGTGTAGAAGGTGAGCATAGAAATTATGCACTTGTTATCCATAGAAAGTACAAAAGGTTATTGCCTAGTAATTCCTACCCACATGTCCATTTACAAACTGACACTACAAACTCTGATCAAGAGCCTGTGGCTTGCCATTGGAGACTATTTATGGCAATGATG